CCATCTTAGATATCAACAAAGTAGTGTGGGTCAACATATACTGTCTCAGTCGGCGAGCAGCCCATGCCAAAGCGCAGCAAGTTTTCTTGAGCAGTGAGTATATTATTTCATAGTCGGTAAACTTTTTGATAAGTTAGTATATTGCATGCTCTTTTCGACCGAACTCGTCATGCTGCCCCAGCACACACGCCATTGAATTATCTAACACTGTTAAGTACATTATCAAAGGTCTTCCTTCAATCGGAGGCATCCAAATTGGTGGCTCTTGAAGGTATTCCTTGATTCTTTCGAAGGCAGTCTCGCATTCGTCATTCCATTTTACCACTCGATCTTTCTTCAGGAGCTTGAAGATTGGCTCACAAGTAGTAGTTAGATGGGAAATGAACCTGGCAATGTAATTTAGTCGTCCCAAAAAGCCTCTGACCTCCTTCTTTGTGCGAGGAGCCGGCATCTCTTGTATAGCCTTTACGTTTGTAGGGTCTACCTGAATGCCCTTGTCACTGACAATGAAGCGTAGCAGTTTACCAGACCTTACCCCGAAGGTGCACTTATTTGGATTCAACCTCAGCTTGTATGTCTTCAACCTATCAAACAGCTTTTGTAAATTATCAAGGTGCTCTTCCTCAATTTGAGACTTGGCTATCATGTCATCCACATATACCTCTATCTCGTGGTGAATCATGTCATGAAATAAGGCGACCATAGATCACTGATAGGTTGCCCGGAATTCTTTAATTCAAACGGCATCACTTTGTAACAGAAAGTGCCCTATTGTGTAACGAAGGTTGTCTTCTCCATATCCTCGGGTGCCATCTTGATCTGATTGTAACCTGAGAAACCATCTATGAAGGAAAAGATCTTGTGCTACGCGGTGTTGTCAACTAGAACGTCGATGTGGGGAAGTGGAAAATCATCTTTGGGGCTTGCTCTGTTCAAATCTATGTAGTCCACACACATTCGTACCCTGTCGTCTTTTTTAGGCACCGGAATTACGTTGTCCACCCATTGGGGATAAGAGGTAACGACTAAGAAACCATCGTTGAACTGCTTCATAACCTCTGCTTTGATCTTCTCTGACATTTCAAGGCGTATGCGACGAACCTTCTGCTTTACCAGAGGGCAATCTTCTTTGGTTGGTAGACCGTGAACCACAATATCCGTATCCAGTCCTGGCATATCTTCATATGACTAAGCGAAGATCTCGACATAATCATGCAATATTTGTATCAACCGTTGTTTGACATTAAGCCCCAAATTTGCACCAATCTTGACTTCTTTTCTGTCTACCTATGTGCCCAAGCTTATTGTCTCAACTGGCTCTTCATGAGGCTGTATATCCCTCTCTTCCTGCTGTAACAGTCTAGCAAGTTCTCCAGGTACCTCACAATCTTCCTCACCTTCGTCCTCAGCTTGGTTGATCGGATTTTTGAAGTTATAACTGGCAATAGCAGAACTATTATCAATGGGATCCATAGTGGATATGGATCTGCAAAGTGATACGTGAGTGTGTGTAAGAGCATAGCTGTATAGAAAAAGTAAAAGTAGAAAAGAAAAACAGAGAGCGCAAAATTTATATGGATAAACGTCCAATGCTTTATTAATGCCATATGATAATAAAACATGAGGACCCTTACAAATAAACTGATGTGCCCCGGGTAAGACACAAGACTATAAAGTTATATTGTTTATTACATATCTAAAAAGAAAGAAAGACAATTACTTTTGAACAAAAGTAATAGGTACAAAATCTTTTTCCATCCAGTTACTGGGTCCACCATTGGTAGTAGGGAAGATCCAGCTATCCATGTTATTGTCACCATCTCCATCTTCTACAGCGTTGACCCTATGATTGTTGATGTGTAGGGGAGGTCTTCCAGCACAGGAACGTCGAACAACCCTTTGAGCCCCTTCTTTGACAACCGCTTTTGCATCCTTGAGAGATTCCATCTTCAAGGGAGGCCTGGTGATCTTCGGCACATTGGTAACAATTCCAGTTGCAGCCAGAGTCTGAGGTACCTCTTCGAAATTCTGGCACGGAGTCTCGATGAACTCAATATCCATTTCCACATATCTGAAGGAATTTAGGTGACTGACCACGTATTCTTCGCCGCCGTGTACAGTGCAATTTTCCCTTTGACCGAGTATTTCATGACCTGATGTAGAGTGGATGTAATAGCTCCAGCCCCATGTATCCAAGAGCGGCCCAACAAACAAGAATAAGATGGCCTGATATCCATCACATATAAGATAGAGCATAAAGTCTGAGAACCAACCTTGATGGGGACGTCCACCTCCCCGTGCACTATTCTCTTTGAACTGTCAAAAGCCCTTACTACAATATTGTTGAGCTTCAATGTTAGGACTTCACAATCTAGTATATCTAGCACGTTCTTAGGTAGCACATTTAATGATGAACCAATATCCACTAGGATATGGGCCAAAGTAGTTCCCTTGCATTCGATAGAGACATGCAACGCATTATTGTGCTTCCTCTCTCTAGGGGTCAAATCAGCATCAGAAAAGCCCAAACCATTATCAGCCGTCAAATTAGCCACACAATCTTTGAATTGGTCAGCAGAGGTTTCCCGGGGCACATGGGCAGTTTTCAGGAATTTCACCAAAGCCTTCTCATGAGCTTCGGAGTACAATAGCAAGGCTATCATAGAGATCTTTGAAGGGGTCTGACACAGCTGTTCGACCATGTTGTAGTCGCTTTTCTTGATAATTTTCAAAATTTCTTCCTTTTCTTGCTTGGAAGCCTCTAGGATAGATACTGAATGCGCCTTCGTCTGGACAGACTCAACCAATATGTCTTTGCCTTGAGTCTCGGTCGACTCGGTGATAGGGGTGTCAGTAGGGGTAATCACAGGGATTATAGTAGTAGTATCAGCAGGAATGAAAGTAGGAATGATCACAGGACCAGTAACAACTTTTGGAGGAGAAATCTCAGGGGAGAACACTCTTCCACTTCTTGTTATTTTGCTGGTTCCAACGATGTTGCCAATGTCGGGGTCAGCCTTCTCGGAAACCTGGTCTTCATTATCCAACCAATCTTGCTTGACGATGTGGTGTTATACCCCAAACTTTCCCCTAAGATCCCTCATCATACTCTGTACATCCCACACATAGCATTGGTCCCATGGTTACAGGATCAAAGAGATTTTGGCATTAGGTTTTTTTCTGTGGACTAAGGTTGTTACATTCTTCATGTTGATCCAGATGATGCTATCATTATTCTTGGTACGAGATTAGGGTTTTGGATCTCAAGTAACATAGACGTCTCCACTAGCAGGTTTCCTCGAGATATAAGGTTTTCTTCATCAGAGTTTCTTCAAGGAACAAAGGCATTAGGGTTTAACTCAGCCAGAGAATTAGGATTTCTCTTCATTTTGTTTGAGCTTGGTAGTGGTTCTTCTATGGAGGTTTATTGAAATAAAGTCTCACTTCAAGGATACATTGAGCACTACTCTTCTCTTATTGCAAGTTCATCATTGCCAATTAGGGTTTATCCTAATCATCATATCTCAAGACATTCCTCTCAATAAGTTCAGAGGATTTAGTCAAGGGCTTATTTCTTGTAACGCTATTTGTTAAATGTTAAGGATTGGTTGAAGAATTCATCAAATTAATGTGCTTATTATTGATTAACCTATGAATTAAGAGCTCACCCAAAAATTTTGATAGGATTTGTGTGGCTTCTTGAGTTTGAGTTTCAATTGAAGATTTAGATTCATTGACCAAGATGGCATAAAAGATAAGCTTGTGAACTCTTTGTGGACAAAGTCATGTTGCATATTCAATTACTTGTTGCAAGTTGATTTGGTTTCATTCAAGTTTGCAAGGCATAAATAAAATCGCATCGTTTCAAGGCATATCTTGAATACAAGTTCATTTAAACAATTTTTTTTACCATTTCAAGATTCAAGCCTTTAGTACCAAGTCCAAGGACATATGGGTTATTTTGAGGAAAGATATACGTCTTTATTCATTCAATTTCAAACTCCAAGTCCATCATCCACTATTCAAGGCTCATTCAAATATCATCCCAAAGTACAAATGTTTGTCAAATATTTCAAAATTACGTTCAATGTTCAATCAAGTTACAAAAAGATCTGAGATTCATATACATACATCATTTATAAATGCAAAACAAAAAAAGAGAATGATGATACATATATGGAGTTGGGTGTCTTGAAGAGAACAAGTTTGTATCAATTGGTTGAATGTGAAAAGTCTGCCCAAATTTGATTCAAGTCATGGGGATTCATTTTCACCCAAATATACAGGATACCAAATTATTGAAGGTAGGACCTATTCTAAAAATTCTGCATTGGCTGTGTGATTTAAAACTTTCTCATTATGTTACGAATCTTCACGATCTTGGATGAGCGTATAGAAGCTTGCACAATGCTTGAATCAATACTTTGGATTAGTCACTCAAGTTAATTTGCATAAAAACCCAAACAGAAAATGAGTTGTATCAAAAACTCATATCGAAAGCAGTTCATTGGAAAAAACCAAGTTAATATAACCGTTCAGGAAAAAAAACCAATTCCCACGATTAGCCTTGCAATCTGAAGTCATAAAATTAGAAAAGAATCCATTCCTATACAAACATAGGAAATCACTCAGAAATAAAAAAGTTACAGCTCAGCAGTTCCTAATCAGGTGTGCTAATCTCTAACAGATTCTGGATAGGTATAACAAAGTTCTAATAGAAATAATAACGGGGAGTAAAACAAAAATAAACAAATCAGAAATAACTACAACAAGTTGAACTGATTTTTCAACTGGAATTGATAACTATCCTATAACTGTCGTAACAGAAAAATCCCTGAGATCAATTTCCCTAACTGCTTTCTAACAGTATAACCAATTCACAACTGAATTAACCAAGGCCAATTTTCCATAACAAAAAGATAACGGAAATAGAAAACTGGGTGGAGGGAGGAAAAAAAGATTGATAACAGAATTGGGAAGGCTAAAAGTTTGGTAACAAAATGAAAAACAGAAAAGATTCACCTTGCCACTATCTCAGTCATCTTCAACCTTCCATTCTCACTTTCATCCAAAGCCTTGATTCTCTCTCTCACCTTCATCCATCATTCTGCAGAAGAACCACTATTGAAAATTCTAATATGACTGCTCTTGAATCTTCACCCCTTTTTCTTCAACAAACCATCATCTCTCAAGAACTCCTCGGTATTCATCTTGATATACTTCAACTATCATTCAACGAGAACCTCTTCTCCTCTGCAAATCTGAAACCACGTCACTACTTCAATCATCATCTCGATTGATGTTCTACAACATCATTTCGAATCTGCAACAACAATCGATAGAAGTGAAAATGCAAACAGAGAAAAGAAGAAGTGAAGATTGAACGCAAGGTCAGAAAGCATACAGGTTGGCATCTGAACTTGTCGGTAGAAGATAAAGGAGACGAATCGAAGAGATGAAGACGGAAGATCTTTGAAAGAAATTTCATGGTGATGTTGTATGGCGATTCAAAACGCGAGCAGTGGCGAAAATAAGTGAAGAAGAAGGAAGAAGGTTTGACTCCGATCGGTAAGATTCGAATCTCCACTCTCCATTTCACCCATATTTATCTTCTCTGCTATGATATTGATGGAGCTTTTTTTATTTTAAGCTTCAAAATTGCTAATCTGCTTCGTATCGCAAGCGTATTTCGAACGTAACTTGCCGAAATCCTCTAGGTAATGATGTTGGAGATGGATGTAAAGGCAGTCAACATGGACAACGATGATAGACTGAAGGTTGTGTTTGGCAGAAGGTTGCAAGGTTGAGGCGGAGAGATGAAGAATAAGGTTTCAGCCTCCACGTGTTTAAAGGGAGAAGAGAGTCGAGATGAAGAGTCACTCAAACCTAACCCTAATCATCTTTCTATTTTCTTTTTGCATTTGTTATTTTCTTAAAAAATTTGTTAAATTCAGAGACCATATATTAACTGTAATAAAATGAATATGTTAGGAAATCTAGATATGAATTGTGGCTGGATAATGTGGTTGGGTTGACCGAAAATTAGCTCCCTTGGCCCACTGTTTTTTTTAACATGTTTGTTGTTTAAATGAAAAGTTCTTATTTGTTCTTGGGCTTAGTTGTTTGCTATTACACCAGCTGTTTCCAGAACCACACCTCCTATGTTTAGAGTTTGGTTAGATTTTTTTAATCTTCTTTTCTTAATTTCTAGATAATAATGTTAGGAATAAAAATTGATGATAAAAGATTACAAAATCAATAAAAATTTGTTATATTTTTTTATTTTTAGAGAATTAAATCATGGTTACCCAATTACTTGAGACTTGTGATTCATTTTTGCTTGTTGAGTTGAGTCTTATGCAGCTTTATCATTTGATATGCGAACATGTCTGGGTTTCTGATTGTGATTTATTTTCACATCGATGATGCTTCAACACTTATTCTGTGCATTCGATCTCTGACTGTTTGTTTATTGATGTCACCTTGTGCGAAGTATTCCGGGTTTCTTTCCTTTGGTTGCACTTTTTTCGGACTTTATTGTTCGTTTGGTATTATATTGCTTCCAATTTACTTTTTCGCATTTTATTGCTTTCTAGATGTCATGATAAGTAGGAAATAAAGAGTGTATGCTCGAAGTCGCGGTTTAAAGACCTGTAAAAGGCATTCCGCACTTCATTTTTTATATGTGTTGTGCTTGTGTTTGTTTCCTTTCTTGTTGATCGATGATTCACTCAATTTAGAAATTGAGATCACGACTTCGCTCTCAGTGCATGCTCCCTATAGGGTTTTATCGCTTTCCTTTATTTCTTGTTGATCGATTAGTCACTCAATTTAGAAATTGAGATCACGACTTCGCTCTCATTGTATGTTCCCTATAGGATAGTTTGTTAGATTTTCTTTGGCATGCTAACTTAGATAGGATCCCTCATTGTGTGATAATATTAGGTTAGAGATAGGTTAGTCTCCCTTAGATGTTTTCTTCCCATTTTTTGCATAATTGAATTTAAAACTAAAACTTCTTTTTTCTTGGAAAATGTATAAAAAATGCTAAGCATACAAAAATCCTTTTCATGGTAAAAGTACCAACCAATCCATTTATTTTCGCCATTCAGCTTTTCTCTTTTAAGAGCATGTTAGCTCCTTTCCACTATAGGTCGTAAGTCTCCAAAGGTCGAGCATCGATAGAATGATCGAATGCAACATTGTTCATTTAAAAAATACAAACAAACAAAATATATGATTCGAACCACGGCGCTCTGATTCCTTAAAAAGGGATACATAGGCATCTGGTCACGGGGCTCATCTGAGCAAAAATTTGTAAATATTTCCTTCTTTTCCCCGTGTTTTCTTTGCATGCATTCCCTCTTAGTTTATAACTATTAAGCATTAGATTGAACACACCCTTTGATTAGAACAACGAGAGTGGATCCCATAGAGCACTATGGACGTGTGGGGTGCTAATACCTTCCCCTCGCTACCCAATCTCTCAGTTGCAAGACCTTGATTTCCCCTTTAGGTTTTTCTTCGACGGTTTTCCTTTCCCTTTTATGGGATAAATAAATACTCGGTGGCGACTTCATTGATTTTATCGCTACAGAAAAATGGTGACTTCACTGGGGAATTAAGATGTCGACCAATTGCTGGTCCATCTCGTGAGTCACTCCTAGCTCATGTTTTTCTTTTCTTAGGGTGTTTATCATTATGCTTTATGGCTTATTCATTTGTATATGTTGAAAATATGTTTGCATTGTATCTTTATTGTTTTTTGTTATTTTGTTGTTGTGCTAGTTTCTCTGTTTCTTTGTTGGGTGGTTATTACTATGAGGTAAAAGGCCCAATACCCAGGCCAAGTGGCAACCACAGGAACACTAGGAATATAGTGGAATATGAACGGATAGTTGACTTAGGTTTCACTATGTTGTAATGTCGTCCACGCTCATATGAGGTACAAATAAGGGGCAATCATTTTCGCGTAGGTGATACAGCGATAGTTTTTCAGGAGTACCCTTGATTCTAAGTTACCATTAACCTTACCATGACCTATTCTTTACCCGTGAGTGGGGAGGGAATAATATTTACAGGTACATATGGTGACTATACATGTTCCGTTAGTGACTCTGGTTATACTGATGACTTTGGTTCTTGGTATTCTGAATTGGTCCGGACCATTGATCTTATTACATATGACAGTGATTCTATTATCAGTTCAGCAGCTATCCAGTATTGCAGAAGCTTTGGTCCCTCATGTTTTCATACATAGCATGTTAATATAATTATCAGCATACATGTTTTTTGTTTCCAAACATTACTTCCTTTATTCCAATTGTTAAGACAAAAAATAAACATTAAAAAATAATATATAATAAATACATGAAAAAATACATAATAATATTTTGGCTTAATAACTGGAATCAAAGCGTATAGACTTTTGGAAATAATAATATGTCATTTGTATTGCATGTCATGCATCATGTTCCATTTAACTATGCATTTCATGAGTTTTCCAGAAGTCTTACCCTAGGTCCTCTGGTCTCCATAATCAAGTTGTCTCACCGGTACAACACTCGCGCTAAGAGAAGATGGAAAGCATTAAGAAAGAGATCTTTGAACTCCGCAAAGAGATAACTACTTTAAAGGATGATATGGAACATCTAACTACTTTGGTTTCCTTCCAAGTCAGTCCTTATAGGAAGGAATAAGAGATGGAAAAAGTCTTCACAGAAACTCTGAAATCATTCTTTCGTGAGAAAGTGATAGTCAATTCACCCGGTGAGTTCCCAGAAAAGGAGAATGTGGGAGTGTTTCTAGAAGAGGATGACTGAAAGGAATGTTTAGCTGAAGACAGTGGCACAACTAGTGGTGTAAAAAAGTTTGATAATAACTTTGCCAAGAAGAGAACCAGAAGAAGAAATAATCAGCATCATAATCAACATGTTTCTTCTATCATCCCTGTGTTTAATTTACCTCTTGTCGCTCCAGTTTGTCAACAGAATCAGCAAGTTTCTTATCAGAAGAAAGCTCAGTTTGATCCAATTCCAATGACTTATACAGAGTTGTTTCCTGTCCTAATGTAGAGGAATTTGGTTCATACCCGACCTCCACCGAAGATTCTTGAGAAGATACCTTGGTACTACAAAGCTAATTTGACTTGTGCCTTTCATCAGGGAACCCCTGGGCATAGTGTCGAACAATGTTATCCATTGAAAGTTGAAGTCCAGAAATTGGTCAGAAGGGGTATCTTATCACTTAAGGATACTTGTCATGAGGTTCAAGCCAAGTCTTTGTCGAAGAATAAACGTGATTGAAGAATGCCCTGGATTTTAAAGATGATTAGTCTTCTCATGTTTACTAGAAATTTTACTTATTTTTCATTTGTAATTTTTCTTGTTAATCATTGTACAGTTTGCATGTAAGAGCTTGTTTACATTTCAATGATTATCTTAATACAATGAATATGTTTGTCTTGAAAAAATCCATTCGTTTCACTCGTATTTATTTTAATTTTAAATTTCTTTTTGCATTATGATACTAACTGGTTATCCATTATCTTGCCTAAACATAGATTGGAGGGAGGATGATGAATTTAAAATGCAAAATTTCTGGTTGTACGCTTTTGAATAAAACCCTGTTGACGATGTACAGGCATTGCTTCAAATTCTCAAACACCGGAGATATAAGGGAGTGAAACCCTTGTTAACCCCTTTGAGCCTTGAAGTAGAAGTTTCTTCTCTATTTAGAAAAAAAAACTCATTTTAACCTGGGACAGGGTAGTATTCAGTTAATTTGATCGAGCGTTCAGAACTCATCAGAAATGCGCATCTAAGGATACAACAATGGTTATTCTTCAAAAGGTTGAGGAAAGTCAAAATGCAATGGCTAATCTTCACATATCAAGAGTGTGCATCAATTGATGATATCCTAATGAGTATATCTCGCACATCAAGAAGTCAGTAGACAATGATACAACAATGGTTATCCCTCATATTCCAAGAAATAGGGCAGTCACAATTCTTCCAACAAGTCAAAAATGACTCAACATCACGCGACATGTTCAAAAAGAAAGAAAAGGTAATATAAAAATGAATGAAAAAAATTAAATGAATAAGAAGTGATTAAAGAAAAAGACAAAAAGCCCCACTAAGTTGAAACTTGAAAAAAGGTCGCTTAGGCAAAAATCAAGGCATCCCGTTGGGCTTCATAGTCAAATTCAAAAAGAATTTGTCCAGGAAAAAGTTAGGGAAAATGATGGAAAGCCTGAAAGGTGAAAAAGGATTACAAAATGGATACCCTTAGAAAATAA